GATTGAAAGAGATTTAACAGGAATTCCCAGTATTATGGAAGCTGAAGAGATTGAAAGAGCTAGAAGATTTTGTTTGTATCAAAATTGATTTTATCCGCTATTTTTAGGGCTCTCACGGGATGTTTTGCCATGGGTAATGAAAGCTGTTTTCTTCTTCAACTTCGATTTACATGTGGTCTAAGTGAATTGAATTATCCTTTACTTATAATCTTTCTTTGGTTACTTCGGCTTCTTAAAAAAAATTGAAGACCCCCCGTTTCATTTTCTCTTGGTTTTTATATAATTCTTGACCCTTGCTGTTATTGGAAAACCGGGAGTAACTTGGATTGAAACTGGATTGAGTTATGTTGTTGTTTGCTTCTTACTTCTCCAATCGATTATGGTGAAATTTTATTGTTATTTTAATAGCATCTCTTGTTTCTAATTTGTTAAAGCAGCATGTTTTATTAAGCTAACATCTGTCGGCATGCAATTCCCTAATGCAGCAGGAATATACTCAGCACAGACACATTTTCTTTGAGCTTTGATTTCAAGCTTCCCACTATAACTTCACTAAACTTTTTATTTTTTCCAGAACTGTGACTTTACTGAATTAATTAGGTCTTTTAATGACAAATCTAAATTTTGCCTTGTAGAAAATGACATCTAAAAATGCTTTAACTACTGCATCAATACAATCTGTTAGATCAAAGACAGATCCTACATGGGAGCATTATGCTGAGGTCAAGCTCCCAGATGGCAAAATTCACAATGTTTGTACTGTGCAAAAGAATTTGCTGGTGGAGGGATTCATAGAATGAAACAACATCTTGCTGGAAAGAAAGGGGATGCAATAAGTTACAAAAAGGTGCCTGCTGATGTTCGCTACCGACTTGAAGAAAATTTAAAGGAGATTAGGGAGAATAAAGGCAAAAGACAAGATAGTTATGAAGAGGACAATCCATATAGCCCTAATGTCACACCATTAGAAAGTCATGATGGACATTCAGAAGAAATTTCTACTCCTCAATCTCAAACCCTCAAGGAAATTCAATCACAAAGTCAAACACAACTTGGAAAAAGAAAGGCTCCTATTGACAAATATTTTGCACCAAGAACAACCCAGGAGCACAGCCAGGGATACGAAGTGCGCTTGTAGGTAAAGAACCTATACGTAGGGCAGACATGGCTTTTGCTAAGTGGATGTATGATTGTTGTATCCCATTGAATGTTGTCAATTTAGCATTCTTTCAACCTATGATTAATGTGTTTACAGCTATTGGCCCTAGTTATTAAGGGCCAAGTTATCATGCCATGAGAACTAAATTACTGCTTGATACTAAAAAAGAAGTTCAATTAATGGTTGATAGTTTTAGAAACTTTTGGGATGATACTGGTTGTACAATTATGGCCGATGGTTGGCAAGATCAAGCAAATAGGCAATTGATTAACTTTCTTGTCTATTCTCTTAGGGGAATTGTTTTTATTAAATCTGTTGATGCATTGGACATAGTCAATGATGCCCAAAATTTGTGAAACTTATTCACTGAAATGGTTGACTTTGTTGGAGTCACAAATGTTGTGCACTTGGTAACTGATAATGCAACTAATTATAAAGCTATTGGGCGGTTATTATGTGATAAATTTCCTTCTATTTTTTGGTCTCCTTGTGCTGCACATTATTTGAACTTGATTTTAAGAGATATCAGTAAAATGGATATTGTGATTGGCTTGGCAACATGTGCATCTATGGTGATAAAGTTTGTTTATAATCATGCCTTTTTGCTTGCTTGGCTGAGAAAAAGAGAAGGTTGGACTGAAATTATTCGCCTTGGGGTGACACGATTTGCTACCACTTTTATTGCATTGAAAAGTATTCATGAGCATAAACATGATTTGCAAGCCTTGGTAACTAGCAAAGTATTTTTAGATTCTAGATACTCAAAAGGAGAAAAGGCAAAGGATGTGACTTTAATAGTGCTGGACAATCAATTTTGGAATGATTGTAAAATTGTGGTCTAAATTGTTTCACTGCTTATTCGGTTGTTGAGAATTGTTGATGCTGATGAGAGGCCTTCACTTGGGTATGTATATGATGGCATGTACAGGGAAAGAAAAATTATGAAGAATATATTAATGAATAAAAAGCCCTTGTATAAGCCTTACACAAGGATTATCAAGAAAAGGTGGGATTCTCAACTTTGTTAGAAGCTTCATGTAGCAGCTTATTTCCTAAATCCTGTGTTCTTTTATGATAAGCAGAGCTTTTCTAAAATACTAGAGGTTATGGCTGGATTTCTTGATGTTTTGGATAAGACAATCACTTCTAACAAAACCAAGTTTGTGCAAGAAAGTTTGTTGTATCAAGATAGAGTTGACAGCTTCGGTCATTCCTTGGCCATTTCATCTATAAACTCATTGCAGCCAAGTAAATTTTAATGCTTTTTTCATTTAACTTTAATACTTTTTAGTTTTTATAGTTCTTACTTATGTTTATCTTTGAAGCTAAATTTTGCAGATGCATGGTGGAAAATGTTTGGTGATAGTGCACTAAATGTTAAAAAATTGGCAATGAGACTCTTAAGCCAAACTTCATCTTCATCTGGTTGTGAAAAAAATTAGAGTGTTTTTGAAAGAATACACTCTAAAAAAAGAAATAGGTTGGAGCATAAAAGGTTAAATGATCTTGTGTTTATTCATTACAACCTTCGTTTGAGAAATAGGTATATCATTTAATTATAGCTAAACTTTGTTTAATATGAGTTTAATTATAAGTTAACTTTTAAAATTTTAATACTTTGGTTATGTGTTTTAGAGTTTATAACAAGAAAAGATCTTTTGATCCTATTGATTATGAAAGTATTGGTGACATTGAGTATTGGATCATGGAAGATGAAGATTCTCCCACCCTTAATTATGATGAGATAGAAGAAGCTATGCTTTATGATGATACAATAATTCCACAAGTTTCTATCAATCAAGATGAAAGTTTGATCTTTGAAATTTTTTAGTATTTAGTCATGTTATTTTTTTTTCTTATAATATGTGTTACTTATTAATTTTAATATTTGATTTGTTACATTATTTAATAAAGGTAATAATGAAGGAGGAGACAATGAGGTTTGTCTGGGGGTGGATGTTCAATCATAGAAGGACTTGATTTGAGATCTTTTGCTCAAGAAGATGTTGAAACTTATAGTGATGATGATTTACGGGAAACTCATGCTTGGCTTAATCAGGATCCATCAATCTTTGACAAGTCATGAATAGATAAATATGATGTTATGCTTGTTTAAATTATTGGTGTGTTGTGTTGTATTGCCTTGTTCGTTGTTATTTTGTCATATGTTGAAGTTGAAGTTGACTATTTATCTTGATATTTTAATTATTTGATGTTTTGTTTATATTATTTTATAGATATATAATTTTTAAATTTAATTATGATGTCAACGGTTCGACCTTTGGTCCAACCTGGTTGGACCATACGAACCACAGACCGCTGTCCTCTCCGGTTCAATATCCGGTCTGGTTTTAAAAACATTGATTGGAGGAGCCATACCCTATAAATCGAGTTTTGAAAGTACGTAATATTTTGAAACGAAGTTTGTGATGAGTGGAACAAAGCCTCTAATCTTATTTAGAATTACAAAGAATAAGGTCAAAAAGCTTATTGTTGTCATTCCCCCAATGCAACGTGCTGGAAGGATATTATGATTTGGAATGCTAATTCTAATGTTAAATTTTCAATCAAGAGTGCCAATTACAAAACCAGTCTCCTAACTGGAATACCATCTATAAGACTATTTGGAAATGAAAAGGGGCTGAAAGAATTAGGTTCTTTATACGATTGGTCTTTCAAGAAAAGCTTCCTACTAATATATGGAGAAGTTCATCGTCTAAATCATCTTCTCTTTGTGACTAGTGCAAGACTCGATGGAAATACTTTTGATCTATTAAGTGATTGTACATATGTTAAACAATTATGGAATCTTCTTGTCAAGTATTCAATTCACTCGCAATTCTCCTTTGCAAGTCTACTAGAATTTTTTTTTTTTGGGGGGGGGGGGGGGGAGGACTCATAATCCAACTTTGGTCATTATGAATATAAAGAAGAATTTTAAAGTCGCTAAGTCCACAATCTCGAAAAAGGGAAGGCATGAGCATGTTATAGGTAAATGGACTCCTCCATATCCTCAATGGATCAAACTAAATGTCGGTGGTGCTATGTCTGCTTCTACAAAATGAGCAGGTTGTGGTGGTGTTTTGTGAGAAGGAAAAGAAGTGTGTATTGAAGGATTCTCTCACGAAGCTGAAGAGGGTGTCATTCTCGAAGGTCTCAACTTTGCTTGGGACATTGGATTTAGAAAGATTAGTTTGGAATCTGATTTTAAACTCATTATTGAGATGGTAAGGATGTTTCAACATCAAAGGATGCTTTTTTGTTTTCATGGAAATTAGGTGTTTACTTGTCTATCACTGAAAAGTTCAGCTCTAATATACTTCAAGAAAGCGTAATCTTGTAGTAGATGCTTTTGCTAATGGGCCTGGTTACATATACCTTATATGACATAGTACCACAAACTACGAGGCACCTAGTTATATGATGAGTCTTTGATATTTTTTGTTTTTGTTTTTGGGGCAAAAATGAGTCTTTAATCCCTTTTGCTTTAGTGATTTTGTAATCTTGGCCTAAGACCCTCGTTTTTACCCAAAAAAAAAAAATGTAATTTGTGACTGTTTATTCTTTTTCTCCTTACATATAACTGTTTACTCTAATTTCATTTCAAATTGACAAAAAAAAAAGGGCGGTAATATACCTCTTCGCCTTCTTAAATGTCAACTACAAAATTTAGTTGTACGATAAAAAAAAATTGTACAGCAGTCTTCTTTTTCTACCAATGTCCAAGTCAGAACTTCTCATGCACTTCAGACAATTAAATATCTTAAATAATATGATAGATTCCCATGCATTGCATAAAGTTTGAAAAATAAAACACACTATTTATAACTTGTGAATAATATGACTTAATATAAACTTTATATTAATGATAAGAAATTGATATTGATAATTACCCATCAAACTCCATGAACCCAACCGCTCAAGTAATGAATAAACTTTGTAATCAATCTATTCCAACTTATCAGAATCCTCACCCTGCAAGATCTAATGGAGCCATTTTTTTTTGCTATAAACAAAATTTGATTTATGTACACAAACATGCCGCTAATAACCATCCCTTCACCGCATCTGTATCAAGTTTCAGCTTCATATCGATGGTCATCTCCGACCAACCCACAACCCCCCACCCCAAAAAAACAAAGAACACTGCCATCGAGCAGCTCCTGGTGGGGTGAGCAAGCATCTGTCACAAGCAGCAGCCAAAAATTTTCATTTAAGTGGGCAGCAAGACAAAAAATGTGATGGGAAGGAGATTCCAAAAGGACATCAACCTCACTCCTGGGAGTGAATATTTTTTCCTTACTCTGGTGCTGATGGATCTGATTTTACTGAGAAAAAAAAAAAACACAGAATTAAATTCACATGTGATCAGAAAGAACAATAAATCATGCATCTCATACTACAACAACAAGAAGGTTTATCTTACTAGATAAGATGGGTTACATGGATTGCACGATGTAATCGTGCATTTTATAGCAAGATAGAAGTGTTTTGGGAGGGCATTAAATGGCAATGAAAAAGAACAAAAGAAAATAGATAACATACATGCCTTAAACATGTGACTAGAGCAAACAATAATCACTCACAATCCAAAAGGTTATGCTGTGTGCAATATAAAAGAAAATAGAATGCCCATCTGTGAGAAACAACACCATACATCATATTTAACATCCCTACTATCCCCTCCACAACACACGACAGCATTTGAAAGAATGTGCTGACCACAATATGCCAAATAATATGACACCAAGGATGTGGAAGATTTCAATTTTGCTCCTTTTCTTTTTTCTTTTGATCATCACTGGAGTAGCATAATCTAACATTGAGCCCCGATGAATGTATAGGGTAGAGATGGAGGGAAAGGACACAAAAATACTTTAACCAATTCATTACTCAACATCACTCCATGGATGCCAGTTAAAAGTTCCCTGATCAAACCTATAGACCTCAGTAGAACTAGCCAAAGCACTGATTCAAAATGGGGACACATGCAGAAAGCTATCAACACATCAATTAAGATTGCAAAGTGAATAAATTTTACCATTTCTTTTCTTGGTTGGTTTCACACTCCCCTGTGGAGCAGATGAAGGAATACGCTTTTTTGCAGAGATCTTCGAGGTCTCAGCCTTCTTTGAAGGTATCAAAGATGTGCAAAGAATGGCTTCAACAGCTTCACGCTGTTGTTTCCTTTTTGAAATATTAGAAACTCTATTTTGAATAAGAGCTCTACCTTCATCTTCCGTATCTCCCTTTTTAGTACGATCTTCCCTTGAGGGAGCAGAATCTTTAGGAGAACTGCTTTTGTTCCCTACAGAAGATATACTTCGTTTTACTGATGGTGACAGTGGTGATATTTTATGTCCTCCACCACTTGTCTCCTTTTTCCCATGATGCCTCTTTCCCAAAGTGGTCTTCCCCATGCCATGCATTGTTTTGTCTTCGCCTTTTCTTCCACCGTTACTAGCCGACTCATCTAATGCAGGCATACCAACACAAGTAGTTTTGTTGTCACAGTTTGCAACTAGACGTGAAGTGTCCTTCATGATGGAAACATGTTCACCTTTCTCGTCTTTTTTCTTACATTGAACATCTTTTCCAGAACGTAAGGAACCAGCCTTAGATCCACTACTTGTATTCATATTCCCTACTTGAGTAGCAATACTGTTCCTTATCCTCCTAGAGGAATCCTTCTCATTGACTAAATTTTTTGCCATACTCTGGTCAGCACTTCTAACCTTCTCTTGTCTAAGTTCAAAAGCAGGGTTCGCAGAATTCTGTACACTATCATCGTTGAAAGCAGTTTTAAACAGTGTATGATATGGCATTTTAGCTGATATAACCACGTTTCTTTCTTTAGCATCCTTCACAAGAGCAGCCCAGTTAGAGTTTGTCTGCAATGTCCTTGCATTCCCCAAAATCCAAAGTGATAGTTTGGCCCTTGTTAAGGCAACATTCATCCGTCTTACATCAGCAACGAATCCAATAGAGCTTGATTTGATCCCAGATGTGGCAGAGTTTGAACGTGCTGCTCTTACCGTAGAGAGTAAGAGGATATCCACTTCTCGACCTTGAAAACCATCCACAGTGTTAAATTCAATGTTGGCTATGTTTGAAGATCCAAACACATTAGAAAAGCGAGATCGCAGAAGTGAAAGTTGATACTTGTATGGTGTAATAATACCAATTCTTCTGCCAATAAATTCAGCTGGGTACCTTCAAATGGCAAAGAGTCTTGTAAATAATCACCAAAATTTAAAGAAAAAAAAGAGAATAAAATTGTGTATTTGGTACCTTTTCCTAAAAAACCTCAATAATTCAACAGCTGCATCAGCCTCATGCTGGTTGTAAAGAGACAGAATGCCAGAGTTTTTTCCATGAAGCTCTTGACCATCAATGATATCATAAAATATATAAGGTCCAAGATGCCTGGTCTGATGAAACGGTGCTGATTTACTAGGCATGTCACAACCATTTAGCAACTTGCTCTCATAGAAGTGCAGTGAAGGAAATTTGCATATCTCTGGGTGCATTCTATACTGTCATTGTGAAATAAAATCACGAATGAAGGATTTCAATTTTCTGTCTCAGGATAAGAACATGTGGGGTGGGGGAAGGGGCAAAACTCTTTGTCTGACCCAAAAGCAGTGATAACAGGTAAGATCACACACACACACGTGCTAGTAAGAGCTGTAAAACCCTTCTTAATTCTGAGGCATTCCCTTCAAGTTTTCAGTCGGTGTGGCTCTTTGATATGGTATCAAAAAATGGTTGACCATGTGATCTAACTTTCAGTCAGTGCCATGAGAGACTGGCAATTGGTATTTTCATGACATGACAAGATCAATATTTTGATTAAGTTAATGGCTAGTGCCATAGATTATAACAGGAGCAGCTACATTTGCTCTTTCATTTCAACAGGACACAGTTGCAGAACAATACTACTGATGGGAAATTATCCAAAAAAAAAGACAAGCTAAAAATCATTAAAATTTGACCCAGTGGTTCAGCACATTTGGATAAGCCCCATATGTCATACCATTAAAAACTTAACTCATCTGTTCTATGAAAAACAGATAAAAGTCCTACAGTAAGCAGAATTCAGTCTTCAGTCGAGCTAGCAACAGAACATTTATGGCATGTTTGGTTTACATTTCAAAAATACTTTCAGCACAAGCTACCTATTTTTCCTCCTTGCAAAAGCTGTCTCAATTTTTGTGCTAATGTAAAAAGCTAGATGCAGGAGAGGCAACCAAGGCTACAAAAGCACATTTAACCATATATTAAAACCATAAAAGTCATAAAGTTGACAGAGTTCAGTCTTTCAGTCGAGAAGCCATTTGGTTTATTGATTGGAAAAGGATTCTATTTTAATTGCATTAAAAACAAGATTAAAACAATTCATCATAATCCTGTTATTACACAAAATATCACATGCTAACATATTATGCCACCCAGGTCCTAAATATAGGGAAACTTCTAGAAGCCCTACTTGGCCTAAAATATTAGACAAAATGTAGTGTTTACATTTTTCCAGTGCTACCCTTCCCCACTTTATAGCTTGTTTGAACTTATAATTCTAAATGCATTGTGTTATTGGCTTGTTTGTAATTCCAAGAAAGTACTTAACTCTGATCATTTACTGGTTACTGCATTGAAGGGCAAAACTAGAAAGATTGACATTTTTTTTGACAAGATTAGGCATATAAACTATCATTCCTTAAGAAGCATGAATTATTTACCTTTTCCTTATATTTAGAAATGCAGGGAGTACAAATCACAGAGCAACCGAGTTTTATATGCTTAGCAAAGCAATGATCATGGTTATAAAGCAAAACAGCAATAAAAATTTGGTAACTTACAAACCTGTTCATTAAGCATAATAACAGGATGACCAGCCCTTTGTAGACGTTCAAACATGCTGCATTCATAAAGAAATTTACTTGCAACATTGGAGAGGACTGTTGCTGGAAGCTGCTTTGGGTCACCAACCTTGAGTAAATTACAAAAGTCAGCTTAACTTCTTAATCTACACCAGAAATTTCAAAACTAGAGTTGGAATTTTTACCATGACACATTTGGTTCCACTAGATTTTAAGAGCTGAAGAGGTATCAAAGTAGCAGGCTCCAGTGCCTTTGAAAACAAGAATAGATCAAAAGATGGAAGAGGAAATTAGAGGATTTCTGGTAATTGGTAAATTAATTACTTAACAATTTTGAGAAAAAAGATATAATTACTTGGGCAGCTTCATCAACTACAACAGCATCAAAAAGGGTATTCTCAGACGGACCCCCAAACTTGGAGCTTAACATCGTCTCTGAGCAAACTCCATAAAGGTCCCCACCACAGCCACTCAAGGTAGTTACCACTATTTCAGCTTCCCTCAGTATAGATTTTCGCAGCTTACTCCTGAGTGCCTTGGTTTCTTCATTGGCTTTCCTCTCCTCAGCCTGAACATTACTAAGATCTCTATATATTTGTTTTTTCTGTTCATATAGTTTCCGTAGCTGCATTTCAATTTCTTTGTCAGACATTTCCTTCTCATCTCCCTTACAAGAGTCATCATGCAGATTTTTATGCTTAGAATTTCCATCTCTCAAGCTCGCACGCTTTGCTTCATAAAACCTAATAGAATCAACTAATTTCTCTAAATTAGAACGCAAAGCCCCTGAAGAATCCACTCTCAAATCATTCTTCCCATCCATTGAATGCATCCTCTCTTCTGCCACACGTTGATCAACAAGCGTATCAATAAAAAATGGCAGTGAATCTGGATGGACTGTTTTTATATTTCCAACCCTTACAAGATAAGGCTTGTACATTTTCCCATCACTGCCGTAAAGACCTTGGCCAGAAATTCGTGAAACCAACTCATCCACAGCAGCATTAGATTGAGCACATATAAGCACCCTTCGTCTCACAAAATTTCCTGCAGATTTTGATGCACTTTGAGCATCATCACTCAACTGTCTAGCCAAGGCTGCATCTTGCCATGCCCTCGCAATTGCAACACTCTGGCTGATCTTTGGTCTTGTCTTGGAACTCAAGTTTTCATTTGAAGGATTTTGGGTGCAATTCAACTTCTGTGAAGGAGAAGCAAGCAGACCACTGACAATTGCAACAGTAATCCGTGTCTTCCCAGTGCCTATATATAACATTTGCAAACATAAACAAGCTAAATGTTAAAATCCAACAATTCTAAAGCTTTCAGGTGCATCAAGATATATTTGCACAGGGTGGATCAAGTACCTGGGGGGCCCTGAATAAGTGATAATTCAATTTTTTCTTTTCTTTAGCTGTTCCAATAGCAACACTTATAGCCTGGAGTTGACTGGCATTAAATGATGACCTGAAAATTTTCTGCAAAGGTTGGGGCAACTTACTGAGATCCACTTCCTTGGATTCATTAAGATGATATGAATCATTGAGAGGATTCAAAATAAGTGGAAGTAAGGGAATGCCCTTGACTGATGATAATGCACTAAATTCACGAATTTGAGAAATAATGCTCATTATACGGCATGCATGCCATTTACTTCGCTCAGTGAGAGCCCTTCGGGCTTGATTTAATCGTGAGGAACCATTCTGAAAAAAGAACCTGATAAGGAGAATAGTTAAACTTCTCTTATTACCTCTCTCACATCTTTCAACCTGCAAATACAAATAAACCCTTTTAGCATGATATTGGCATATCAATAATGGTGTGCCTTATTGCCTAACCTCAAGCTGCACTGGTGGCAAAATTGCACCAGCTACCAAAAATTAGCTTTTACAATATTGATGAGATAACAAGATTTTTGACTCCTCAAGGAGGAAAAAAACATGAGAATAATATATTAGATCCAACTTTATGTTTCATGCAAAAATGTTAGCAGGTATTCTAAGAAGTTCATAATAAAATGAACATGACACGTATATTAACATTCTAATTCACATTATAAACAAGACATGACTGCCAATTAGGTGGTTATTAGAGAAAGAATCAGTTATATAAGGTTCGGCCCCAAGGTGAAACCAACATATGCTACAATCTTCATCTAGTCATGCTACAAAACAAAATTAGCAATTGAATTTATCAGCAAAGTAAACAGGACTTATTGCCAATTCAAAAGAGTAAATCTTCATGTGTGGCAAGAATATGAACTACAAAATATATGTCCTAATAAAAGCATGTATAAGAATATCTTTTTTTTTTTTTGTTTAGTCACAAAAAGCCTCTCAACTTCTTGTTGGCCTAATACCAATAACATAAATCAAAAGATACCTTTCCAACCATGTGAACATCCTGTGAAGATTTTTGTGGAGGATCTTTCGTTAGCAAAACAAGGTCATTTTCCGAAAAGCTCTTTGATTCTGCAGAATCACTGTTATCATGTACAAAACGCACAAGATGGAAGTCATCAACTCTCTCCACTGACATCACAGAGAGTTTTCCAGATAACATCTCCTCCCATGATGACATCTCAACAAAAGAGTTGTGTAGCTGTGCTTTAAACTCCTCCAAAACCAAAGGTCGAAATATCTCCACATACTGCTCAGGTGAATGAAAAACCAAAGGCACTTCTTTTAGTTTGTTTATAGCCTGATTTTCATCTTTTCTTGCAGATGCCAATCCGACTATTGCAAAATAATCTATTTCAAGAATAGGTTTATACCAATCATTCAGTGTTGGTGGCTTGAACCTTTTCAAATTATCCTCCAGTCTATGTAGACGGCCAGATCTGTTTTCTGAAGGAGTTTTGAGCTGAATAACTTGTCTTCTGAAAACTGAAGTAGGCTTTGCTACATGCAATTGGGTACGTCCCACAGACTTCAGTGCAGTTTCCAAAGGATCATCTTCATTATCATGAACCAAATCACTTAATATTGGATTAGTTGACAAAGCACTACCTTTATTCAAAGCCATACTGTCACAAGCTTTATCAGGTTTCACAGAATTTGAACGTTCGTCAGATTGTGTTGTCAAATTGATATCATTGTGGGGCTTTAAGCTAACTTCCCTGCCGCCATTATCTAAGCCTTTTGAATTAACAAAGGAAGGGGCCACTGGTTTATCTTGTAAATTAACAGAGTCCAATTTCTGAGAAGACAGACTAGAAACAATGCTAGGAACTTTTCCCTGGAAAGACTCTCCCTGATCCTTGGGAATTTTTACAGAAGTAACATTATGTTTTGCAGGATCAGCAACTGTTATGTTTATACCAGCATCAGAGGACAGAGATTTGCAGTAGCCAATCTTGCTACCAGACAGAATGTCCTTATTGCTTAGAGCTATTGGTTCCCCTTCATCATCAGAAAGTACAATGACATTTTCTTTGTTCTTTTTGCTGTTCATCATTGGCGGGTCCACAATTTCCACACCTGTAGTCTCCAAGGAAGAGTGCCTATCTGAAGAGAAATATTTGCTCTTGAAAATGTTCTCAGATACTGAAGATCTGGGCTTCTGACTTGCATCCAGAAAATTGCCAGTGCCTTCTGATGACAGTGAAACCAAAAGGCGAGACACATGTTCTATCAATTCTTCCAATTGATAATCATCTGAATTACATGGAGAAACATTAAAAAAACATATTAATAAAATACTGTTGACAGATCAAAAGAGGGGGGAAATTGCACATGCTCGTACATATTTATTTGTTACAAACAAACAAAAGAACTCACCACTTGAAATAAGAGTTTCCATGGCAACAATTGCTGAAAGGTCAGATTTAGCAAAAGACCCTTTCAATATATTCAATAAAGAAGTAACTGTTCGCTTCCAATAAACAATTACAACCTTTAGTGTTGACTTTCCCCACTCCATGAGATCAGAAAGCCATCTAAAATCCAACTTATATTCTGCCAGCATAGTCATATTCCCAAGCTTTTTGCCACGAAATGATTGGAGTCTATGAAAAAGAACAGGGAAAATCTCGAGTATCCGAACACAAGTCATCTGAAACAACAAGAAACCAAACACAATCTGTATGGAAATTGAGGCATGTTTTGGAAAATTATTCACAATAGTCCATGCTCATTCATAAATAGCCTCTGGCAAATATCTGGAGCACCAATATGTGTTAGGATAACAAAGGACGAAGATGAAAGCTGCATAAAATCTGATGATAGTAAAACTGGCATTTGCACTAGGATAGAAAATAAGGCAACCACATTTTTCCTCAGATCATGTGGTCATGAACTTTAAATTGTTAGAAAATACCACCCTTAACTTTCAACTAAAACAAAACCATAAAATGCTATAGTGTTCAAAAACAAATGAAAAATAAAAATGTTTAACCTCAATTAAAATCAATTGTAAAAAGCCACACAATCCCCTCATGCTCCTTATATGTGCACTTTCATACACAACATATAACGGTCATGAAAATTTTTGAAGCAAGTAAACAACATCTTGCAGTTATATTAACTAGAAGTTGACATTATTATTTCAGTCCAAATTTTAGAGAGGAACTTTTAATATTTTATTTTAAAAAATGTAATTAGACCTCAGATTATGAAAGTAAATCATAGTTTCCAATTAAAAATATGAAAGAAAAACAGAGTAAATAACAAAAAAAAAAAAAGAACATACCTGGCAAAGATTGTAATCAATAAATTCCTTCCCTTTACCCAAACATCTACAGATAATAGGCCAGGCCATTTCAGATAACAAGTAACTGAATTTTTCTCTACTTTCTAAGTCAACATCTGAGACAAGCTTATCAATACGCACGGGCAGAGAATCAAAATCTGGCTGTTTCAAAAACCCGCCTTGGGAAGAAAATGTTGGCACTTTTAAGACACTCTCTGCATTTTCTGGCAACTCTGGGGCAGGTAGATCCCCTTCTTTCAGTAATTTGAAAAGAAGAAACCAAAAATGATGCAGAGTTTGAAACTTCGACAGAACGGAGTCCAATTGCATCTGGCATGCAAAGACAATTACCACATGGAGGGAAAGAGACAAATGACCATTAGAAAAAGTCAATTAACAATAATTGATTATTTCACTTCCATGTAAAAGTGTCTCTAAAATCAAAGATTCAGGTAAACTATTTGAACTTGAAGAACCTAGCATAGGAGAGATAAGAAAGATAGCAGAGAGGACAGTTGGTGCTACCACAACCTCATATAATTATCAGTGAAGCATTAGCTGACATGTAATATTACCAGTTTCATAGCATGCTTTAGGCCAAAAAGAGAGGCAGACAATGACACCTTGCAAGAACAAAGAAACCTCAATCCACATGAAAGCCCACGGGTATCAGAAACTTGCTCCAAAATACACTTGCCAAACTGTCTAACATTCTGCAATAGAGAAACAAATTATCCATTATATAGATCAGGTTCCACAGACAAGGGGGAAGAGAGAAAAAAAACCAGTCCATCTTGTTGATTTTTTTTCCTTGAAATAACGGAAAAAAATTAATTTACATAATCTGCAAATGCTACTTAGAAATGCCATTACATCATTTGGATCCAAAAGTGAAAGAATTAAACTTTCACCCATCTGTGGTTCCCAAGTCCATTGTCTTCGAAGTTCTCCTTGTGCCATCTGAACTAAAAAATGTGCAGTTAACCTGAGGTTTAACTCAAGAAAAATTAGTCAAGAGATTGAAAATCTGTCATCAAAACATAAAACTCTAAGCTGTTCAAGTTTTGATTTTAGAAAAAACATAGAAGTCAAGGTTTTGTTAGAAACCTGCTGAATGTTCTAATTAAAATTGAAGACATTGTCAACACTTCCACTGAGTTTTTTGATATGTTCCCATTCCCACCATCATCAGAACCAGTCGGAACCTTCCACTCAAATGAAGAGGAAATTTCTGAAGTGTAAGTTGAGAGCCAAGTTCTAATAGGAAGTAGCATTTCTGCACTGCTTTCAGGCTCAACCATAGAAAAACGAGATCGTGCCCAGAAAACAGCCTTTGAAAATGATATTGGAAGGACTGAGGGATGCATATCAACTAAAACATCAACCCATAACATTGGAATGCACATCCACTCTCTGCACTCCTGAGAAGTTATTCTACTCTGCATGCTAAATTGACTCCAAGAACTATTATCTTTTTCTTCACCTAAAAAAGTTGGGAGCCAAATTTTATTGTTGTCATCATTCAGCTCATATTCCATGCAACCAACACCATTCAAAGGCGTGCAGTGATTCAGCACTGAAGATATTAACGCAGTAGCATCTGATACTATAATAGTCTGCATGAGGTCAAAAGCAGGCTGTCTTAGAGAGCTGTGAAGTGAGGAGTCCTTCAAGGATGACACAAGGAATGGTCCCCTGTCCAACACAATTGATAGAAATGATGAGATAACTACACACATGAAACAAAGATTAGTTCAAGTAAATCAAAACACAATGCATGCTGATCAAGTTCACATATGCCAAGGGCCATTTAGACTCAAAAACTTAAGCCTCTAAGTGAACCCTAAGAATAATGTTTTGTTAAGAATAACAAACAAGGGGCAGAATTAGTTTGAAGTAACTGGGGCATTTAATAACTGACTCTAAGGGGAAGTTGTTGGTTAAATCAACTTCAGCTATAAAGAGATGTAATCAAAGGAGAGTAAGATGATTTTGAGCCTGCTTGGTTTGTTGTTGAGAGCTCTAAAAACTCATTTAATGGCCACCCACATGTGGAAAGAAGGGTTACATAAATTGAGAATTCATGACAGATCTAAAGAAGCCTCAAACTTTGACTTTTGAGAAGGAAAGAAAACAAAAGGCAAAAAAGTGAGCATGTACCACATATGAGCACACTCAAAAGGAGGGGAAGGCGGATTCATCGTGTAACCTCGGTGCACAACAAGAAGTGCTATCTGAAAAGACAATCTTGAAATATATAACAACCAAGATAAGCCAAAACAAACAGAACAACACAGTATGAATTGCCAACCACCATAGCCAATCATTTGCCACACACCATGTATAACTATTATGTAAGAATCTAGACAAATATATATGAACCTGACAAGCTAATTTTCTCGTTAGAATGCTGTAGTTATTGCTCACTGGCACTTGATGAAGAAGAAAATAGAGAAAATTCCTCCGCTGCTTTTCATGCTCTCCATCTTGCAAAGCTTCAAGAGACTAGACACATGCACGGGCTCATTCATGTAAGCCAACAAAAGGACAGTCACCAAAATAAACCATTAACTTACAAAATAACTTGAGCTATCATGTCAACCAAGAACAAAACCCCACCTTCTTACCAAGAAAAAAAAAACAACAGAGAGAGAAAAAGAATAAAAACAAAACAAAAGAAAATAAAAGTCAATACTCAAGAATTTTGCATGCATGCCTGCAGAAAAGGCTGGAAAAGACTAAATATATCTTTGTGGATTTTCTCACTGCGAGTATGGAAACATTGACCAAGCAGAGTGTTGCGCATTACACTTGGAGACAATTTTGACCTTAGCCAAAGCTTACAACCTTGAAGCAAGCCCAAAGATAAAAAGAAAATATTAGCCAAACAGAAATACAAAATAAAATGTGAAGAGAAGCAAAAGGAATGAAAAAGAGGAAGTGCATACCAAGCATTTCAAAGAGAAGTCTCAAACAAGTAACAGCATGTGAAAATTCAACTGAATCACTGCTAATATGATTGAGTACAATATCAAGAAAAAAGGGATAACGTTCCAATAACCCTTCTTCAAAAGCTGGAGAATCCATGAAGCTAAGCCTTCACGAAATCATAAAAGTTTTGTGAAAACAAAAGCAGAGATAAATTAAACATCAAGCAAAAAAGAATTCAAGTTTTATACTTCCAAAACCACAAATTCCTACAAAGATTTGAAGCCAATCCATAAAGAAGCACGATCTGGCTGTGGTTGTGGTGTTGAAATCTCCATAGCTGATGGTAAAGTCTCTGCCTCTAAATAGGCAATAAACTTCTTAAGCAATGGCTGCAAAGGTTCCAAGTCCGTTGCTCTCCTACACAAAATGTAGACAACATTTATGATTATCAAAAATCAAAGCAAGGATGTAGAAGTCTTGCATACAAAAAACAAAATTCCAAACATTTATGAACAAAACATAAGCAATGAGATTCAGTTTAATCAATAATAATTAATCAAGCCATGCCTTCAGGTTACCACAAATCTAAACATGATTTCTAGCTTCTTTATTTTTGGATTACATAATGAGAGTTTGAACCTATGACCTCTACTCATACCCTAATCTAATCACTTGGGCATCATATATGGTTTCAGGTATTCATTATTTTGTGATTAACTAAAAAACCTTCTTTAGAAAACCATAGTCACCAATAAGCATATAATTAATTTATAAATTTATTCACAAAGAAACTGTTGTCAGATACACAACTTCCATTGACATCATAAGCATAAAAAAATCCTCATAATTAAAAGCTCAAATCCCTTGGCGCCAACAAAGGTACCTCAACCTTCCCATTGATCCTGCCAAGCGATATCCAACAGTGCGCACACTTCGTTTACAAAACAGCAATGCATATACTCCCTAGAAGAGAATGAATGCATCATGTAAGCAATCTAAAACATAATATCTGAGCAGAATTACACAGGAAAAAGAAAAAAAAAACTTACAGGAAATTGTTGATGCCCAGACAAAGCCAATTCATGCATATTATCAATAGCTTCAACAAACAACTCAAATTCCGTGAATAGGGGCTGATTCTCTAGAAGAATTGGGAACATTAATACCTGTATCAAATGGTGAAACATGCACATGAAATGATAATTTTGAACTCAAAAAGACAAAAAAAGGCAACTAAGTCCCAAAATAAAATAAAATAAAATTCATCACACCATAAAGAAAATTGTTTATCTTAGCATCGATTGCAATTGAAAAATCACTGGCCATTAATATTCATCAGCATTTCAGAATAAATGTTACCAGTAATCTATTCATCAACAGGTTTTTTTTTTTTAATAAGAGATAACATTTTGTCTAAAAAAGAGAGGAGAAAAAACAAGAAAACTGAAAAAAAAAGGCGGCAGCAACACAAAGAGACATATCAGTTCCAATTTCTAAACTCTTCAATCCTGTAAACTAATTAAAAGGGAAAATTCATTGCAAAAAATATGGGAAGAGACCCAAAGAGAAGAAATAATAACAATGTTGTTCTGACATAACTCTAAATAAGTTGATGTTTCTTTGAAAATTCAAGCATTATAATACATCCAAGTACGGCAAATAATGCAAACACAGATAGCTGCCCAACAGTGCTGAAAATTGTGAGAAAATGTCATCAACCTAGAGGGGTACAAAAAACATAAAGGATACTAGAGGCACATTAACAAAAATTTAGCATTACTTATTCTTTTGTAAAATACCAGAAAACCTTGAGCTTTACAAAAAAGGAAAGACATAAAACTGCTATGAGCATTCTTATATGCCATTCTTAACACAATTTAAAATCTAAAATTGTGACTTCACAGCTTCTGTAAACATCAAAGAAATGCCTAGTGAAAGTAGGCAATGCTAAAAACAGTAAATAGGAAAACATACAAGTCATTTGGTGATCTTCCAAGCAAAACAGAAAATGGAATAGGACATTTGAGTTCATTCAAACAATATAACCAATAGTTCAATACTTTTGCTTTAGTACGTTTCCCAATGCAATGGAAAATTTTATATAGAAAGAGAAGCCCAAAAAGGATGCAATTTCAAGACTCAAAATGTTGATTTAATGGAATCTATTGGCTCAAAATAAGAGAAGAAAAACAATGAGTGAAGAAAAATTGAAACAGAACAGGTTAATTACCTCATACAAAGCATTGACAACTTCTGTATTATCACAAGTAGGATCATACTTTTGCGCTGCTATTCTTGCATTGATATCTTTCAGGTGTAGTGTCACCCTCTCATAATCAAGCTTCTGCAATACATCAAGAAGAGGACCAATAGTGCTAGACTCATATTCCATTTTGTACATTTCTTGGGCATGATGATGCTGAGAAACGCATTGGAGGCAGCGTCGCAGTTCATCAGAGATCCTCTTCCACAAACGCCTAAGAGGTGAATCTTGCCGTTCATCTTTGAAGTAATTGTAGAAAGTCTCCAGAAGAGGCCCCATTATATCCCAAAAGCCACACCATATATGACTCTCATTAGGCAGACAAATCAAGAAATTATATGCATCTGCAAACCTGATAATAATCACGTATAACTGTGGTTATGGAAACAGTGACAAGGTTCATCAGGCATGAACCAAAATAGCAACACTGACATCAATCTCAAAGCTCGATAGTAAAATCCCAATGATCAATGACTCACGAAGTAGTAAAATGCAAAACTCTGTATTGCCCAAAACTTTTAACTTATTGCCAAAAAAAAATAACAATTACCAAAATTAGATTTCAAAATGTCGGTAAGTACCAAGTATAGTCTCTGGACTAAGCATATCAGCGTAAAAGAGTAACATATATATAATGTGCAGTTTTCTTTTCCGGAACAAGGTAAAAGGAAAATGGAGATAACCATTGTTCTTTGTGCTGGTGGAGGCGACGGTGTTTGAGGGGATCAATGTTATCCTCGTCGTCGTTCTCTTCTTCTTCTTCTTCAATGCCTCTCCACCGGTCCAGAAGCTCCCGCCTAGTTGCTATTTTCTTGGACATTGAGTAGGCTCCGATTTCAATCGACTGTCAAATGCCTTGAACTTATAAGAATCGAAAATCAAGGTTCTTCCAAGAAAGCGTGGAATTTTACCGAGAAAACGTGACTAGGTTAGGCATTTGGGCGCGGTTTTCCCATTGTCAATACTAAATCGGCAATTGAACAGCAGCAATCGGCTTCAAAAGTATCACAGTGTATCATTTTAATATAAAATTTTAATTATAATTTACAAATTTCTTAATGGTAATTGCAATTAAACTTTGCTGCTCAAAAATTGCAATTGAACTTTAATGCGGTTATGACGTGTTTGGTATTGTAATATTTTTTTTTTTTTTTTTGCCGTGAGAGTAATTTTAGGCCAAGATGTGATTAAAATCAAAAAACCAATTATCAAAAACATGCTTCGAAACTAACCCTTGTTTGGTTGGAGGGATTTGAAGAAGAGATGAGGATAATTAAAGGGGGAGGCTACAAATATACTTTAATATGATTAAGATAATCTTATAAGTTATGTTATTCTAACTTTGCTCAGAAAACAATTTATATAAAAAATGTGCTAAAAGTTTCTACTAAATTTCTATCCCACAACCTTAAAAAAAAATAAAAAAAATCATAGAGATCACTTTTGCCACATTTATCATGATTGACTATAGAGCTTGTCTTCACTGTTGTGATCTCAGCTCTAACTGTTAGTATCTTTCTTCATTTCTGTCAAATTCTACCGTTGCTCTTTTTATATTTTGTTGTTACTTTTCTTTCTCCAAAACTTCATGGATCTATTTTAGATAAGTTGTTGCATTAATTTAGATAGATATTACTTATATATTATAATTGATTTATTGTCCCTTGTTATTCCTTCTCTCTTTATCATCTCGTGGTTTGTCTAGTTAGAGGCTTTTGCTTTATGTCATAGATCGAAGGGTTGGAGTTAATATTTCCTAAGTTGTTTATTTTTATTTTGCTCAAGTACTATTTTATACTATATAGGTATCTAAATCATGGAATATATCTATCTGTCTATTTATATGCAAATGGCCAGTTAGCCACAACATATATGTTTGTTTATATCCAATTATCTTATACTAAAATTGTGTTTTGGGCTGAAAGGAACTTACTTGAAGAAACAATATCGCAAGGCTACTCTATTATAACATAAAGGCTGGACCCTAGAGGAATTAATAAAATGTGTTCCAGTAGAACAACAACCAGGTTCCAACATCATCCCCTATTTCCTTAAAAAGTTGTGAGCAACGCACCTTGCCACTTTCTCTTTATAAGTCACACTATTGGCTTTAAGATTAGTGTGAATAGCTATCAGTCCTCTAGGTAAGCGAAATTCAAATTCAAAGTAGAACATTGTTTCCTGCTTGTATAAAAGGTAATGAGTGCATAGTTAGAAGTCTTTTTTCAACTCATTCAATGCTCAACACAACTCAACTTGCACCAAGCAAATCAACCGACCCAAGGTCAACTCAAACCTCACTCAGCGCAACCTTAAATCTTTAGCTTAAACCCACTAGGCTTATTACCAAGGTTATTAAAACTAGACCAGACTAGTCGGTTTGATCGATTTAATCGAGAACCGGCCAGGTATCCAGTTTGGAGATGATGCAGAACTGGGGGGAGGGAGAATCGGCCATGAACCGCCTGAACCGGGTTCGAACCGAACTAAATTAAGAGAATTAGCGATTCATGCGGTTCACCATTATTTTTTTTTCCTTCCAATTTCACAAAACGATATCATTCTATTTGTTCTTCAAAACCTAATTTTAGTTTAGGTTTGTGTCTTCATGATTCTCTCTCTGATTCTCTTAGCCATCAGCCCGTCACAGAAAGAAATCAGAACACTCCAGACCAAGTCACATTGCTCCACTTTCCTCTACTCTATCTCAATTTTGAAGCTTGAATGCAAGCTGCCGTGAAACCCTATCAGGCAAGCTGTTGAAGAATCTATTCAGCGAGCTTTCATATAACTAGATCCAGTGAGCTGTCGTAGAACCAATTCAGCGAGCTTCCGCAAAACCAATTAGGCGAACCTCGCGAGCTCTCACTTGGTCATCTTGTTCTCGTTCCTTGCCTCTCTTTCTCAATATGACCATCGTCCTCCCTTTCATCTGTTCGTCTTGTCTTCGTTGGACTTCAGCTCATTCTCAAGTCTCAGCTGACCTCTCATTTGCCATATTCAATCTTTATTAACTAGTTAAAGCTCTTATTCTTGAAGCTCGATCAAATGCTATATAGTTTAATAAATAATTGGTTGTGATTTTGGACGCCTGGGTGCTGATTACTGATTGTTGATAGCTAATTGCTAATTTAATAATTTTGACTATATTCTGATTAAGCTTAGTTGTTTTTTTATGGATTTGGAACCTCCCACTCTTGCCACCGAGCCCAATGTACAAGTTAATAATCTTGATCATACTCCTATCATTGGCACTCCCTCTAGCTCAACTCTAAATAGCAATAGTACCCTACAAACTGCTGTTGATTTGAATATTAATGATGCCTCTATGCTTTAAGTATCACCTACACCATCTCTTTGAGGGAAAAGTAATCCTACATGGGAGCATTTTGCTTTTAAAAAAAGGGGAGAACCTGTGTATATACTTGCCTTTATTGCCCCTCATCATTTAAAAGAGGTGGGATCAATAGGATGAAGCAGCATCTTACAGGTGTTTCAGGAAATATAATTTCTTACAAGAAGGTTCCACATGATGTTCGACATAGGATAGTTCAATCTTTGAAAGAAGTGTCATTGGCAAATAAGAGGAAGCTTGATGATCCAGACACACCTGAAGAGTTTGTTGATAACTCAAAATATGAAGTAATTGCTCCAAATCTAGAGCCAAGTAAGTAAGCTAAGAAGGCAAGTTCTAGCAGTGTTGTTGTTGTGAAGAAAAAAAAGGAAAAACTAGTGGGGCTGACAATTATTTTGCCCCAAGGTCAACTTTTGGCTCCCCACCAGGACTAAAGAGTATGTGGTCATCTAAAGAAACTCAGTATAAAGCTAACTTAGCCCTTACTAAGTGGTTATATATGAATTACATTCCATTTAATGCTGTAAATTGTCCATATTTTTTTGCTTGCTTTGGATGCAATTGCTACAATTGGCCCAGGTTTTAAAGGTTCTTCATTTGAGGAGTTAAGGGTTAACTTGTTGACTGATTATAGAAAAAAGTGTCAACTGCTTATTAAAAGCCATTGAGCCACTTGGAAAGAAAGTGGCTGCATACTCATGGCTGATGGTTGGACTGATAAAAGGCAATAAACATTAATAAATTTTATGGTTTATTCTCTTATTAACTTGGTTTTTGTAAAGTCTGTTGATGCTTCACATATAATCAAGGATGCCAAGAATTTGTTTTCTTTGTTTTGTAAAGTTGTTGAGTGGGTCAGTCCTAAAAATATAGTGCATATTATGACTGATAATGCAACTAATTATGTAGCTGCTGGCAGGTTTATTCGTGAAAAATATAATCATATCTATTGGTCACCCTGTGCTGCTTACTATTTGAATCTTATTTTGAAGGACATTGTAAGCATGCCCCATGTAGCTGACCTTACAAAAAAGGCATCAAAGATTACTATTTTTGTGTACAATCATGTGGCTTTTCTTTTATAGCTTAGGAGAAGAGATGGGTGGATAGAAATTGTGCACCCAGGAGCGACAATATTTGATACTACCTTCATTACATTGAAGAGTTTGCATGAGCACAATCATGACTTGCAAGCCTTGGTCTTAGATAAACACTTTCGTGATAATAAACTATCAAGGACTAAAGCTGGGCAACTAGTTGGTAACATTGTGTTGGACAAGAAGTTTTGAGATGATTGTTGTCAAATTGTATGTCTTGTAGGTCTTCTTATCAAGCTACTAAGAATTGTAGATGCTGATGAAAAACCATCTTTGGGTTATGTTTATAAGGGTATGCAAAGAGCAAAGAATTCAATAAAAAATTTCTCTCATAGAAAGAAGGAATAATACAAGCTTTACACAAGCATAATTCAAGCTCGGTAGGATAAGCATTTAAAGTGTGATTTGCATGTAGTAGCCTACTTTTTAAATCCTGCATTATTGTATGATCAAGGATTTATTGAGAAGAGTAGAGTGACAGAATCAATGTTGGACTATTTTTCAATATACAAGTCTGCCTATAAATATTCTGACATAATTTCTGAGATGCAAATATACCACAAGCGCCAAGGCTCTTTTGGCCGAGAAGAAGCTCATAAAGTAGCAAATGAAATATAACTTGGTTAGCTTCTTACTCTCTTTTTTTTCTTTTATTATAATTTTAAATATTAACTACTATTAATTTATTTGAATTTGATGTAGATGTCTGGTGGCAATGTTTTGGAGGTAGTGTTCCAATATTACAAAAGTTTGTAATTTGTATTCTAGGACAAACTTCTTCTTCTTTAGGATGTGAAAGAAATTGGAGCCTATTTGAAAGAATTCACACCAAAAAAAGAAATAGGCTAGAACATGAAAGATTGAATGATCTTGTGTTTAACTACAACTTGTGTTTGCTAAACAGTTGATCATTAATCATTACTCAAATCTAAAATAATTCTCTTTGGCTTCAATAATTGAATGATTAGGGATTTGATTGTGATTTTTTTTATATATATAATGTCAAAATTGAAGAAGGTGAGCTATGATTCTGTTGATTATGAATCAATTGATAAGCTTGAGTATTGGATAGTTGAAGAAGTTCCAACTCCAAATCTTGACTTCACTGTTGAGGAAATTCAAAATGAAGATTTTCTTGGTGGAAATGCATGTCCCTCTAGATCTGGTCCTGAATTAAGGGAAAATGAAGGTTGCTCCTTTCTTATTACATTAAAGCTTTGTTTGATTTATAGTTTATTCATTCATTATTTATATGTCAATGCTAACTATTTTTTTGCCAAATATATGTCTAAGTGCTGTTAAAGATGTGAATGTTCTACAAACTCCTATTTTGGATTCATCGAATGCTATAAGAGTTAAAGGAGATGTTTGTGATCTTCAACATGATTTTAGAGAGTTTAATTTAAAAGATCTATATAGAAATTGAATGTTGTAGTTTTTTTAGTTGAATTTGGACCATTGGATTGTATAGGACTATTAGACTATGATGTGATGTTGTGCATGGCCATAAATGACTTTGAAGTTTGAA